CTTATTTTATCATCTTATAAATATCATTCAAATCCCTTTCAAATTTTTTTATATATTTCATGCAAAATCATTATAAAAAAAATATGAAAATAATGTACAACATTATATTATTTAATTATTACATACATAACATTCTATTATGCATTCTAAATTGATTAAATTTAGTAAATAAATACTGTAATGTAATTTCTTTTATTTAGAGCCTTTTAAAATTATCTAATGTTATATTATATCAATTGTAGCTTAAATATTTCCTCTGATAGGAGAACTTGTTAAAATAATTAAAAATAAAAAATATATATCCAAAATGATTTTAATTTGATAATCAACCATCTTCTATAAAATTTTTTAAATAACCATTATCTAAGAGGGAAGTATGTTAATTAATAAAATAAAAATGTATAAATATAATATAATACCTTAAGATGTTTAATAAAATTTGTAGATGAGTTTGTTGATCCTTTAATAACTTTTTTATTTATACAAGTTTAACATTTCGCTTGTACCTTGTCCTTTCTCACATATATTATCTTATAAAATTTTCCATCTAGGATTTTAAGATTCAGATTTGAGGAGAACCTTACTCCATAATTTCATCTTCACTACTTTCTTCACTATTGCAATTAAAAAATATTATATACAAAATATATCCTTTACTTATTTAGTTTTGGTGTTGTTATTTTTAATCTATCAAACTTTGTGACCTGTAAAATTTCCAACTAATTTTGGTAATCAATATATTTAAAATATAACAGGAAAATAATAAAGAAAATATTAGATTCCACGAAAAATATAAAGTTACATTGTGTAATATGTAAATGTTTTATTTAAACATGAATATTAAAAAGAATCTGTATCTGTATCTTTGTCAAGAAAATGGAAAAGATACAAGATTCTTTTTAAAATAAAGGATCTTAGATATAGATACTAGTATCTTATTAAAAAGGTCAAAAAGATACTGAGTACAAGATACAAAAGGATCTTGTATCTTGTATCTTAGATAGAAGTATTCGCGGTACTGCCCAACTCTGTATAATATATTATTGATATAAATAATATCTAAATTAATTATTATATTTCATAACAAATATATCGATTATTGGCCTCAATATTGAGCGTTATTTACTTTTTTTAAAAAACAGTACATAAAAATAGAATATTTTCCTATCTTAGTCATATTTCTCTTAATTGGAGAGAATATAAATTTTATTGCTGAAAATCTTCTATCTACGCTTTCTCGAGTAACCTGCACTGTCAATTTAACATCAGTTAATATAATTCGGGGAATCTATTACTCTGAATTTGCCAGTAGTCTAAGATATTCATTTCTGTATTTAAGGAGGTACTTTAGGAAAATTAACTAAAATATTTCTTATATTCTCTGATCTTTCTAATGGATTTCGTTTATGACTGTTTATTCTTTAAATGTTTCTTCAAGAGTCTGTTGGCCTGATGACTCCTAATCTTTTTAATTTCTTGATGATTTTGTAGAATGTAAAGGACTATTTATTTTTTTGATGTGACGCTCAATATTTGCACCATAATGATTTTTCCTTAATTGTATCACAATCTGCAACTTTAAATTTGATAATACTTTACATAAATAATTGATATATTGGACTTAATGTATCACCAGGCATTAATCAATGGTCTATATATACTACTAGTTTGGCGATTCATTAATTAAAAGGAATGGGATCATATTTTGGTTTCCATATAAACCAATTGTCTTATAAATGCCATCAATACAAACATGGAACATGGAGCAGTTATCGATTCATACTAAGGAACACAGCGATTTAATACAGCTACAGTCAAAAATTCTACAGAAGAAACCCAACTCAGTGATAGAACGACTCATCCGCTAATATTTATTTAGATAAATACACGAATATTATATACAATCGCCATTATCGTCGCTTTCTGTATTTCTTGAAATATTGTTTTATTACTGTTGTAATTGTTAAACCAAATTACAAAGCCGAAGGATATTCAAATCTAATCAAGAAAAAAGAATTAAATTTCGAATGCAAATGATTTAAAGAAAGGAATAAAAAAGAATGATTATTCAAATTAAAGAAAGTTCAAGATTTTTTTCAGTTTGTTTGTAAAACATTATGTAAATGAATTATAGAAAAGTATATATATATTCGAGGATATTTGTATATGGACAGATCATGATTTTACCGAAATTAATTATAATTTTTAATTTTAATTTTTGATTATTTTAATTTTTTTTAATTAATTTAGTTTGATTATATTTTTAACTTATTATTTAATAAAGATTTAGTATCATTTTAGTTCTAACTTTTCTGATTTGACGAATATTATAGAAAAATATATATAATCGAGGATATTAGTCTGATTTAGTATCAGTTTAGTTCTAACGAGGATATTAGTCTGATTTAGTATCATGTATTTTAACCTTTCTTATTTGACAACGATTTTAATCTCTCAATCCTTTGAAAAAAATAAAATGTTAAATTACTTATTTATTTGATTAAATATAATAAAGCTATAAGAATGATCAAAGCCATAAAGGGCAAGACAATCAGCTGATATCTATCCCGGATCGTTTAGAAATCTTTTACTTTTGATAATACTATATAGGTAACTAATTGATATTGAATTTAATATAGCCCTAGGCATTAATCGATGATATATAAACTAGTAGTTTGGCGATTCATTAATTAAAAGAATGCACGTAGAGTCATCTTGGCATCATATTTCGGTATGTACATAACCAATTGTCTTATCGATCATTATATTAATGTCCATTAATGTCATTCATGATTGGAATGGTGATAATTTAGTATGACAGGTGTGTAGCCAGAAATTTTTTGCGGGGTGGGGGGGGTATTAAATTTATTAGAACGTATCTTATATGAAAATATGATAATTTCGAACACAAATAATAAAATATTTGAAAATACAAAATATAAAGAACGAATATAATACGGTTAAAAAAAATAAAACCGGTATATAAATCACGATAAAATATAAAAGTAAAACATTATTTTTTAATGATTTAAGAAGTTAATCAAAATATCAACCATAAATGAAAAAATTAATCTTCTTCGCGATTTTGCCAATTTATTCAATAATTTATTCTGTGTTAGGGATTAGATCCCTCGATGAGTAAAGCTAGTTCATTCAATTATTTTTAAGATTTCGTACTTTTGATATAGGTTTTTATTTTCTGTAATAAAAAAAAGGTCCTCTCATTTGTAGCTTGAAATTAATTGGTAGCATTACCAATATATGCAATAATTTTAATAATTTGAAAAACTAGTAAAATATATATTAAAGTATACGTTTTTTTGAAGGATTATCGATAAAAATGAATCCTTCATCCATTCCCATTTGTATTCTGAAATTAATTGGCCTTCAAGATACATTTATATACTAATAAAATTTAGCTAAATATTTAATTTTTTTAATATCAAGATTTGATATAATACTCAGATAAGAGGGTGTTATAAGATATATAGTAGTTGTAAAATGGAGATAGCCATTTGATAAATCACAAATCGTTCATTGATTTGTGTTCAAAATTAAATCCAAAAAGGGGAATAAAAACGGTTATTTTATAGTAAATCCTCAATTGAGTCCTCGTGGAACGATTTATTTATAGGTGAAAGTCGAGGCTTATGAATCTCAAAATCATATGATTTTGCTTCCACCTCAACAATCACATAAATCTCGAGAAATTTCTGGTCGATATTATCTTTCGGTTTTCTAAGTTGTAATATAATAATATTCGTGATTCTCATAACTTCAAGCTAAATTCATTTATTTTTTTGAAAAATATTGCATAAATTGCGGTGTAATAAATAATCTATTAATATATTCCAATGAAAAAAAAAACATCGGCAGTCATATATTAAATCTAATAATGTATCCCATTCAGATGAAATATCTGTTTCAGGTAATTCTAATATTTCTCCAAGGGCATACGAAATATCTTATAGATCCAAAAAAATGCTATAACAGCTTGATGTCGAAGGCTCCATCTTCTCGTGCAGGCATTTTGCAGCATCGTTTTTTGCTGCTGCACAAAAAATCTCAGAATCATCATAATTATTAGTAGAGATAAATTAAATAAATAAAAATTTTGGTTGATAAAATTTTCTCATATATGTATCAGTGTTTAAGATTTTTTAAAAAAAATGTAAGAAAATAAACCTTAAATTCTGGTGAGATAAAATATTAATATACACAAGGAATAAATGTTTAAATTAATTTTAAATTCGCTAATATTTAGAATAGAATACTGTGCAATTCAAATAGCCTTTTATATTTCTCAAAAATCCTTTCTGCTCTCTACGCATTAGCCCATTTATATTTTTTCAAACATATGCGACGGGGGTCGGGATTTCTCCTCCTCCACCGCTGGCTACACGCCTGAGTACGACATGTCCCTCTCAGATGATTATATCACTAATACCCCCCATTGATAGAATTTTAAAATATCACGAATCTTTAAAAAGATATTTTTTTAAATAAAACTTATAAAAGCTGTCCAAATATTTTGAAAGATTTCGAAAATGAATTTGGCGGAAGCATATTTAGGCATGGTTTTACAGTTAAGAAATCTACATGGTGTTAATACATTGCAGTCAGAAGAATCTTTGTTAATACAGATTCACAAAAATTATATTACAGCCTAAAAATTTATAATAAACTTTATTGTCTTTAGAACTTCTTCTAATTTGTATTAATTTTTATATGGATTTTTCATATAAATTAAAAAAAATACTAAAATGTCTATGGCTGAAATTGTTTGAAATTTAGAGTTTGGATACTCTACACATCCTAGAATACATTTCCGGTTCAAATCGGATTTTAAAATTTTTTAAATCGCCCTCGGTAAAGGATTTAATATCAAGAGATTCCGAATCCCCAAGAATTCCGAATCCCCATACGACATATATTTAGATTTAAATATTAAAATTACAAAATTGAAGAATTTCAAAATAATTATATTTTATTCTGTATAAATCAAACATCGATTTCCAAAAATTTGCGCATATCAGTATAAAAATCTGAAAAACTATGTTTATCGTATTGAGTCATAATGATAGAAATATTGGATATGATATCGGCCCTTGTTGCGGGTCGCGGGTGAATAGCCTCGAATTTAGTTTTAATAACGTCGAAGAAGCTTTTGATGGGGTTCAATTGCGGCGAATGAGGTGGAATATATTCGATCCTACCTTTAAAACCGTCCATAAGATCACTCGTGTGAATGGGAGCATTGTCCATCATGATTATAGCATCGCTCGGGAGAATATTTACCAGATCTGTCATGTAATCCATCAAAATGGCCGCCTTGTAGGACCCCTCTAAGATGCGATAATTGACCAAACCCTTTATACCTATAGTACATAAAAAACTCACACATTTATCACTGTAACGCGGAATGACTATGGATGGTATAACCCCGAAAGGTGCCCACGCGTAAACGGGCGTGTCCTTTATATAAATGCTAGTTTCGTCGAAGAAAAACAACTTCTCCATGGCCGTATTCAGCATCTTCGAGCAATACGTTTTCCGCGTAGTCATAACCTCCGGATCGTTTATTCTATTATCGAGTTCCTTATAGGCCATCTTTTTCGACCATCCGAATTTTTTGATGTATTTACTGATCGTACTCCCTTTTATCGGGCATCCGTCGGGCATATTTTGCATAATCTCGTTTATGGTGAGCGTGTTATCGTCTTTCAATAGGCCCAATATTTTTGATTCGATATTTGATAGGTCCTTTTTTTTTCTTCCCCGTTTTAGGATTGGGTAATCTTTCAAGGGTCCTCCGTAAAAATCCGGAAACGTAGCGCGCCTTATGTTATACACCGACGCGACGGACATGCCGCTAACTTTGCTGATATCTTTTATCTTCATTTGTTGCATTTCCGGTACCGACAACATTTTTTTGACAATCTCGATCGTATCTTTATTATAAAGTTTGTACGTTTTAGGCTTTTTGCTTATCGAGTCAGAATTGGATGAAGAATCATTACTTACATCATTTTTAATATTGGTGCTACTAGTAGGGTTAGACATAAAATTTTTTTTTTTACTTATACAAATTGAAATTTTGTTTATATTACTTGTGAATTCACAACGGTTTTTTTTTTAAATATGAAATATAATATTTTTAAAAATGAATGAAAAAGAAAAACATATAATTTTTGATTTTATTTTATAATGATTCTTTCAAGTTAAACAATTTTATCTACACGAAGATTAAAATAATTTACAATATGTGTTTTTTTATTTATCATAAACATTACTAGTTTTGTGATGTGGAAAATAGAAATATTATTATACACATTTTATTATTTTCATATATAACTCATTTAAACACATGCATATATAATTATAATCTTTACAAATATTCAACAAAAGAAATAATATAATTTTATATGCATGTGTTTAAATTAAATCGTCAATATGTTTCATTAAATCATCACAACACTGTAATTATAATCTTTACAAATGCACAACAAAAGAAATAATAAAAGAAATTTCAATAATATGTCTATATTTTTTTGCAAATATATTAACATTTTATATGAATGGGTTTGAATTTAATCGTCAATATGTTTCATTAAATCATCACACAACACTGTATATTGTGTGGTTTTGTTGTTATTTTATTTAAACATTTGTTTTTGTCAAAGTTTATAATTATAAATTTTTTAAATAAAAATAAAAACGTTGACAGATGACACATACCACTATTGATAAATAAAATTATAAATATTTTTAATTTTTTGAGTACGGTACTTACTTTGATTTTAGAGGATGGAAAAAATATTCGGTCCCGGATAAAAATTACCTACCCGATCAAGTTTGTACCAGGCCCTCCCGGTTTTTTTGTAGTTAAACACCAAAATAAACTAATATTTATAATATTGAGGGGATTGTTTAAAGTAAACACTAACACTTCATGGATTGTCACTTCTATCGAATATCCAGAATTCATCAATAATCTAGCCCCAATATATTTTTTTTTGCCCATCACGGTCCAAATAATTTTTTTCGGGCCTTACACGTGCCGGGCATTGTAGACGTTTACTTTGATTATTGCTCAACTTTAAATTGTAATTAAAAATAATGATATTTATGATTTAGTGTAAATCCTATTTTATATAAATATATTAAGTGTATTTGATTCAAAATTATATGTTAAATTTTAATTCTCATCGAAGTTAATTTGAATTCTACAGTGTTGTGATGATTTAATGAAACATATTGCTGATTTATTTTAAACACATGCATATATAATTATATTATTTCTTGTAAAGATTATAATTATATATGCATGTGTTTTAAATTAAATCGTCAATATGTTTCATTAATTCATCACAACACTGTAGATTGTCATTTTAAGAAAAAATTTGTTAAGTTTAGGATAAAACAATTATTCATTTGCATTTACTAAAATAGTTTTTAATTCTAAATTTTTTTTTCTAGATATTATAATAATGGTTACTTTTTGGGAACAATTATTAATTCAAGAATTAATTATTCCTCTAAATTTAGGCCTTTTAATGCTATTTTTATAAATTATAACCCGAATTAGTAGAAAATTGATAAACAAAATTCTCCTTCCATAAAATTTAATATTACGTAATCCTTAATTTAAGAAAAATTAAACCCAAATATTCATTTGCGCTAAGTTGTTACCTAAATATTAAAATTAAATTTATAAAAATAAAAATAAAAATAAAAGCATCATTTAATAGAGTTAATTTATAATCTTATTTGAAAAAAATTCAACCTAATGCTAAATTTAATATTAAAAGTAAAATCTAAAATAGTCCAATAATACAATACTTTCATAAAAATTAATTAATTTAATATTGAGTTGAGAAAAAATAAATGAGAACAATTATATATTCTATTTTCTCAAGCAAAAAGTCTAAATAAAGTTCAGCATATTTATTATAATGCAACAACTAGTGTTTTTACGGCCCGAACAAGATTTTAACCAAAATAATATTATGTAAGCCTCGAGATTTGACCAATAGAAGTCCAAACCTTTCTTTCACCTATTGAGCAAAATTTCCTGGCCTACATAATACTATTTTGTCTAAAATCGTAATAGGAACGTTTCAAAAAATCGACCTTATTAAGAGATTTTTAACAACCCAGGGTTTTGTTTTATTTTGCTTTCATTTTCTTCTATAAAATTATGCTAATACCGAAAAAAAAAATCATCCTTGATAACTGAGTAATAATAGAAGTGAATGGAATGATATTATTCAATTCTTGTAATGTAAAACGGGCTCGATTTGAGTCAATCTCTATAAAGACGGCTAATTCAATATTTTATCCAGAATAATATTACTCAAGCCTATAGGTTTTTCAATGACTTATAATATACCTAGACTGACGATTCATTCATTCAAAGTGTACATCAATGAAAATCAGCTGGGGACACCATCTTGGTTATAGTAATCATTATTAAAATTTGAAAAATCTTTTAAAATGACATATTTTCAAATAACATCAATCTGGATCATAAAATTAGGATAATATATATTTGTTGTTTTAATTTCAAAAAATTAGAAAATATATAGTAGTTTTTAACATGTAAATAATTTTTATAAAGATTACCAAAATGGCGGGTCCAGCTGATTTGCTTTTAACGACACTTAAAAATGCATTTTAATGAATGAATCGTCGGTCTAGGTATATTATATGTCATTTAGGTTTTTGCTCAAAGAGAGCACAATGCTTTAGACATTTATTATCAAAACCTTAGGACAATTTTTTTTCTGGCTAATATTGAGTTAGACGTTCTTTTATAATATCGAGTCGTTTAACAACACTATACTCTTGGTTAAATTAAGAAAGAAAGGAAAGAAAGGAAAGAAAGAAAGAAAGAAAGAAAGAAAGAAAGAAAGAAAGAAAGAAAGAAAGAAAGAAAGAAAGAAAGAAAGAAAGAAAGAAAGAAAGAAAGAAAGAAAGAAAGAAAGAAAAGAAAAGAAAAGAAAGAAATAAAGGGAAAGAAAAAGAAAACACTTTTTATTCTTATAAACTAATTTTAAATATAATTCTTAGAACTATCTCCTCTCACTTTAATTTTGAAATGAACATTCTAGTCAGAAAAGATGATAGAACACCATTTTTGGAATTTTTTAAAAAAATCCATTTTTATCGATTTGATTTTGACATAAGGTATGCGATGTATAATTTTCTTTTTAAGTCTAAAGAGTCGCGTTATATTTAAAATAACTATTTAGAAATTCTAAAAATGAAAGGGGGGAAACGAGTTAAAATGAGGCCGTATTAAAAATTAAATCATATTATTATTATATTTTATTTTCCTCGAGAATATATCCAAATTTGTGTTTTTATTTTTTCAAACTTTTTTTTGGGGCAGTTAACTAATAGCTAAAATTTCTTTTTAATGTATAAGGGTAAGAAAAAATTATAATTAGGAATTTTTTATTTGTAAAATATTTTTTTAGGCTTTCTATTTTATAATTTTTTGAAAGACCGGTTCATCCAGAAAAAAATGATAATAATTGAGAAAAGGAGGGAATATTTATTGACTAATTTAGGTCAAAAATTATACTTCTATAAAGAACTCCTAATAGTGTACACAAATGGAGAGTTTACATTTTGCTGCAAATTGAGGTTGCATTTTTATTAATATCGTAGATTCAAAATTTTAAATAAGTTCTAAAAAAAAAGGATTTGTCTTTGAAATTATATTATCGTATTATCGTCTGCCTTCTTATTTTTTTAATTTTCTTAATATTCCTTTTTAGGATTTAAGTAAGTTATTTATATTACATTTTATATAATATTACAAAGTGAAGAATAAAAAAAATATATTAAGCAAACCTATTTGCGTTTTTAAAATGGTTGCTAACGCCAAACGATAATTTTACCCATTTACACTAGGCCATTTGAAATGCATTATTTGCGCTTGCAACGCAGCATTTGAAACACTCAATTTGTGCGCATTATAAGACATATATAGGAGAAAATGAGAGCAATAACCCTGCATCCCCAGTTATCGCAAAATCCTCAGGATATTATGTCATAATATCATTATAATTAAAATTGTTTTAAATATCTAATTTAAGTTATATTAGCGTATCCCTATTATTGCATAAAACGGATCTAAAAGATTTGCAAATTAGGGTGGGGTGGGGGCTGTCAAACATTTATGGAAATCTGGCTGTTTCCAAATTTACCCTATGCATTGCCCGGTCAGGCTCTGAAGTTTTTTTAATGGACTGGGCAAAATTCTTTTATATATATATATTTTTATATGATTCTCTAAGATTAACAAATAGTTGTTAATTTTGGTGTTCAACACCATATATTTTGATTTTAAGGCCTTATATTTAAAAACAAAATAAATATCCGGATTGGGGCAACCTTAGTAAAAAATATTTAAACCGGCAAAATTTGTCCGGGCCGGGTCTATACCTTTGCAGACTGCAAGGATCCATCCTTAGAATAGAATTTCATCTTTCCTGGATAGCCGTCTTTCTAGATCCCTATATCCATGGCTTGACGGGACACTTAATCACACATAAAACAGGAACTGAATTATATTTATTTTTTTAAACAAGATAAAATATAAAAATAATCTTGCATCTCACGTGATTTAATTTTTATTACCTTTTTAAAGAGTCATTTATGACTCTCAGGAAAAGTGACGTCACTAGGAGCGGGGGTGCTATTGGGGGCTCAAACCTAATCTTAAAGAGTCTCAACACCCCCCAACAGCATAATTGAATCAAAAAATTCAGCAATTGAATCCCATAAATTTAAAAAGCCTTAAGACCTTTGTCCTGGTTCTACTATATTTTTTTTTGTTTAGCGTAGGTTTTAAACAACTTTTAAACTAGGACATCCTATTTTAGTTTGTTCTGAGTGTTTGGGTTTTGTTTTGTTTTGTTTCTTTTTTTTAGACTTTTAGTCTAACCTATATAGCTAGCAGCCGACTGCTTAGTAATAACCTGAATCAGGTTACGGCATAAAGGATACCGAAGTTTACTTTCTCTGATAAAAAAAAGTTTTATTTAATAATCTCTATTTAAAAATTACTTAAATAACAAAGACTAGTTCGAAATTAATCAATTTCTTTCATTTTATAATATTCGCATGCTTAGTAAATATATAAACATACATTTTGCCATTTTCTAATATTTTATATAAATTATAATATAATTTAAATTTTTTTTGTTTAAATAATATAATATATATATTTTAAGTATAGGATTAAAGAATCACTTGAGAATACAATATATATTTTTTTAAATATTTCTATAATAATACATAACTATGTTTTTAAATTTTAACTGTATATTAATGGGAAGCGTCTATTTCCAAAAATTTGCGCATATTAGCATAAAAATAAAAAACTATTCCGGTCATGTAGAGTCATAATGGTAGAAATATCGGCTCTCGTCACTGGTGGTGGGTGAATAGCTTCGAATTCGATAAGTGTCGCGAATGCGGTGGGAGATATTCGATCCTACTTTTAAAGCCATCCATTAGATTACTCGTGTGCATGGGAACATCGTCCATCACGATTATAGCGTTGTTCGGGAGAATACATACGAGATCCGCCATATATTCTAGCAAGAATTTTGTATTGTACCTCCCTTCCACGATGCAATATTAACCGGACCGCCCATGCCTATGGTACATTTAGATGGCGGGATGAATATGGATAGCGTTACGTCTTTGTCCTGCAAATCGATGCTAGTTTCGTCAAAAAAAATAACGTCTCTACGGGGGTATTCAGCATCTTCGAGCAATACGCGTTCCGCAGAGTGATCACATCTGGATCATACCTTTTATTTTCGGGTTCTATAGAAGCCCTTTTTCGATAATTTTAAATTTTTGAGGTGTTTCCTAATCGTTCCTTCATTTCTTGGAGATCCGGCGGACAGATTTCGTATGATCTCGTTTATGGTGAGCGTGTTATTGAATTCCAATAGATCCAATTCTTCGATTCGACATTCGATAAGTTCTTCTTTTTGCAACCCTAAATAACATAAATGAAACTTATAAAAGCTGTCCAAATATTTTGAAAGATTTCGAAAATGAATTTGGCGGAAGCATATTTAGGCATGGTTTTACATTTAAGAAATCTACATGGTGTTAATATGCCAAGTCAGAAGAATCTTTGTTAATACAGATTCACAAAAATTATATTACAGCCATGTTAATCTTTACAGCTAAAAATTTATAATAAACTCTATTGTTAAAAATGTCATTTTCAATTGTTCAAATGTAGTCCTAATTAATGGCTTTTAAAAATGACGCAGATATTTTTACTAAAACAATTTTAGAGTATTAGCTATTAAAATTATATTTTAACAATTCTATTTGCTAATATCAATGACAAATATAATACCTAGACTGACGATTCATTCATTAAAATGCGTTTTTAAGCGTCGTTAAAAGCAAATCAGCTGGACCCACCATTTTGGTAACACATATAGTAATTATTCTCATGTTAAAAACTACTATTAAATTGATAACTTGCTTCCTTATTATCTCGATGATACGGTAATTCTTTAATAAAGTTTGCATCAGATATAGTAATAAATTAGGCTCTCGTTTAAAATTTTAATAATGATTAGTGTAACCAAGATGGCGTCTCCAGCTGATTTGCATTGATGTACACTTTTAATGAATGAATCGTCAGTCTAGGTATTATATATGTCATTGACTAATATATTATGACTTTAGAACAAAAACAATCAATTGATGGATTCTGTAATTTGATGAAAAATTTCTCCCGCAAAATAAATAAACTTGACAACCCTGCTTGTAAACCATAAAATCCCTACAGCTGACTCCTATGTTTGTAGAGATTTAAATACATATACATTAATCAAGTGTATACACATCATTGCTAATAATTATCTTTTTAAAGGAAATTATTTAAAAAATGTTATGAAATATAGCTATATAAAAAAATTCAAAATAAAAATGTTAATAGTTTTTAAAACAAGTGTGATATAAATTAGAATTTTGGCAATATATACTACTAGTAATAAATTTCACAATATTTTATATGCATAATCACTGGGTTCAAATTTCAAACCCCTTTCACAAACATTTTTAGCGATTCGGATATAAAATAATTTAACGGTCAAGTTCGGTTCGATAAAAATAACGGTTAATACCCGTTTAATGGCTCGGCTCTGGTTGTGATTACCTGATAAAAAAATCTTCGAATATTTATAATCTCTTGAAGATTTTATTTGAGAATGCTTAAACAGAATTTTTGATCAAATTCTACTATGAATTTTTATGAATAAAAATCTTTCGTGGAAATTTGTTTTTAAAAACCCTGAATATAGGTTATATTATAAAAAAAAATTCCATTAAAAACTATACTTATCAGATTACTCATAAATTAATCAATTTTATTCCATTATAATTTAAAAAAAAAATCATTTGCATTATTTTTTCTGATATTTATAATACAAGTAACAAATTAATTGCAGATCAAATTTTATAATAAAAAATATATATTATTATATATAAATATTAAAATCACAAAATAGAAGAATTCAAATTAATAATTATATTTTTATCTGTATAAATCAAACATTGATTTCCAACAATTTGCGCATATCAGTATAAAAATCTAAAAAACTATGTTTATCGTATTGAGTCATAATGATAGAAATATTGGCTATGATATCGGCCCTTGTTGCGGGTCGCGGGTGAATAGCCTCGAATTTATTTTTAATAACATCGAAGAAGCTTCCGATGGGGTTTAATTGCGGCGAATGCGGTGGAATATATTCGATCCTACCTTTAAATCCTTCCATAAGATCGCTCGTGTGAATGGGAGCATTGTCCATCACGATTATAGCATCGCTCGGGAGAATATTTACCAGATCCGTCATGTAATCCATCAAAAATTCCGCCTTGTAGGACCCCTCCAAGATGCGATAATTGACCAAACCCTTTATGCCTATAGTACATAAAAAACTCACACATTTATCACTGTAACGCGGAATGACTATGGATGGTATAACACCAAAAGGTGCCCACGCGTAAACGGGCGTGTTCTTTATATTGATGCTAGTTTCGTCGAAGAAAAACAACTTCTCCATGGCCGTATTCAGCATCTTCGAGCAATACGTTTTCCGCGTAGTCATAACCTCCGGATCGTTTATTTTATTATCGAATTCCTTATAGGCCCTCCTTTTCGACCATCTCATTTTTTTGATGTATCTACTGATCGTGCTCTCATGGCATCCGTCGGGCATATTTTGTCTAATCTCGTTTATGGTGAGAGTGTTATCGTCTTTCAATAGGTCCAATATTTTTGATTCGATATTTGATAGGTCCTTTTTTTTTCTTCCCCGTTTTAGGATTGGGTAATCTTTCAAGGGTCCCCCGTAAAACTCCGGAAAAGTAACACGTTTTATGTTATACACCGACCCGACGGACATGCCCATAACTTTGCTGATATCTTTTATCTTCATTTGTTGCATTTCCGGTACCGACAACATTTTTTTGACAATCTCTATCGTATCATTATTCCAATGTTTGTACTTTGTTTTAGGCTTTATGTTTATCGAGTTAGAATTGGATGAAAAATCATTACTTTCTTCATTTTTAATATTGGTGCTACTAGTAGCGTTAGGGTTAGACATAATTTCTTTCCTACCTTACAAATTGAAATTTTGTTTGTATTATGTTGAATTATTCACAACGGCCTTTTCTTTAATAATGAAATATAATATTTTTAAAAATGAATGAAGAAGAAAAACATATAATTTTAATTTTACGTATTTATAATGATTCTTTCAAGTTAAACAATTTTATCTACGCGAGGATTAAAATAATTTTCAATATGTGTTTTTTAATTTATCATAAACATATAGTAATACATGTTTGTTATGTGGAAAATATAAATATTATAATATTTATTTTTTTATTATTTTAACTTATCTACATATGTTTTTTGTTTTGTTTGTTATTTTATTTAAATTTTTTTAAATAAAAAAAAAACGTTGACAATTGACACATAACCACAATGGTTACATCTGATAAATATAATTATAAATATTTTTATTTTTAAATTTTTGTGTTACTGTACTTACCTTGATTTTAGAGGTCTCTACAAATGGCAAAATTTTCAAGCCCGGCCCGAATAAAAATTTCCCAACCCTATCAAGTTTGTACCCGGCCTTACCGGTTTTTTTAAAAAGTACAAGACCGTAATATAATGTAGTTAAACACCTAAATAAACTAATATTTATAATATTGAGGGGATTGTTTAAATTAAACACTAACACTTCATGGATTGTAACTTCTATCGAATATCCAGAATTCATCAATAATCCAGCCCCAATATTTTTTTATGCCCATCACGGTCGGCGTTACACGGGCCGGGCATTGTAGACCTTTACTTTGATTATTGCTAATCTTAATATTGTAATTAAAAAGAAAGATAT